CGTTCTTGCGAACGATCGTGTTGATTACTTTAGCCAAACGATCCGGTCGAGTTAGATCGCGCGTCCAATAGAGTGAGTCCCATTGTTGATCTTCCACTTTCTCCAAATGAACCTAATGAACGTAGTTCGAAACATTTATCAGTAAATCTATTAGTTATGTGCTCAAGAATCTGCTCGAAAAAAGTGTGTTTTTTCATTTAGAACTCAAAACTACACAATGAGTAGTGAAAATATCTCTTTCTATGAGTATCAATATAGAGTTAACCATTTCTCCTAGCAATGTTTCTATTTGTCTTTGAGGGAAAAGGAATTAATGACAGACATGCTCTTGATAAATAACTATTTCTCTTTTAAAATATCCATGTCTTCAGTAGTATGTTCTTAGAATAAAAAGGAGAATAATGATCCCTTGAATAGTGCGTTCTTTCTTCTTTGAGTTTCTGGAGCTAAATAATTCTCTTGAAACGGTACAATTTCTCGGTTTTATGATATATTATCCAGCTCTAGTAAGAACTACGATAATCATCGAACTCGATTTAAGCCAAAAATCTCGTAAATCTCTTGAGTTCTCAATTTTTCATTCAACTCTTGACTATGTTCTGCAAGTACGGGTGAATTTCAGAATTTCTTTTGAAGTTTGCCTCAAAAACTTATCCGACGAGGCCAAGACGGTATACTATGAAATCATAATGCGGATAGAGCAGCTATTCGAGACAAAGACTCCAAATGTTCTAACCTGTTTGAATTGTAGCTGTCGTTCGAGTACTCTATCGAGAGTAATTGGATCTTGCAGTTGACTGTCGAAGCCCTCTTGAACACGCAGTTTCATGGTAATTTTGTCGGTAACTTCGCTGAGCAGCTGTTTGAAATCGTCACCCGTGAGCGTCACCATATCGGAACGCGGAAATTGGGATCGAATTCGATTGAACATGGTTGTTTCCGTAATATGTTCTGTAGTAATTTCCACTTGTCGTTCGACCGCAACTAGTTGAGGAGTATAAAGTTCTACAGAGAGACTCAATTCGACATGACTACTTAGGATGTTCTCCTGACATTCGCTATTCGAGGGATCAACACGAGGAAATGGAGTGAAAAAGATATCGGTTGGCTTGCGCTGATTTGGATAGAGAATCACTTCACCATCTTCATATTTAATTCGACCGATGCTACTTGTGCCCACTTCTACCTGGTGTATAACGATACTACGGGAGGATGTCGATGTCGAGTCTTGAGATGAAACTAGGCCCAATAGGCCAAAGAGTAACAAAGTTGAAAGCATTCACACTAAAAAAACGAAAAGGTTTGGTAGAATAGTCTCTGTGAAATGAACCACAGATTCGGTTCGGCGATTATTATTAGTTATTTCCCACAATCAACACCATTCTGAATAATATTTCATCTGTCGAAGAAAGATAGACAATTACTAATAAATTCTATCAAAATCTTACTCGTACTGGTTTTTCTCAACCTTAATATTATCTTTGCTGTGATGACGCAAAGTTAGTTATGAATTCTTGCATACTAATAGAAGAAAACTTTGAAAGCTGAAACTCTTTCAAATGTTGAACGAGTCATTTAATGCATAACCTAGGTCGATGATTCCTGAAGCAGTATTCCGTGAATTTCTGGGGCTGGGGGACCCATAGGAAAGAAACCGTTTTCTGTCGGAACCCGCCGGAAAATGCAAGGAACTTTGAAGCGGGACTCCGATGATCGTATCCGACTGTCGGTTTTGCCAAGTCCCTGGCGAAACCGGAAAACCCGGTCATCAGATCCTTTACCGGATTCTTGCTTCCAAGTTCCTAGCATTTTCCAGTGTTTTCCTGAGGAATCCGGTCCGTACTTCTCAATCTGAGAATAGATCATCTGAAGATTTTAGTGCTTTTGTGGTACTAATATAATAAAGATGACTCCTTCTTCAACATTTAAAAGACCTTTGTGCTTTCAAAGTTTCCTTGTATTAATATGCAAAAGTTCATAGCTAACTTTGTGAGGTTATGGATCCTCTAGTGGCTAACTCTAATCGTAGAAGTGAAGCTATAGGGAGAATCAACTCTCACTCCGATATCTTTATTTGAAACAAATGAACAGCTATATATAGTACTAAGTAAACAAGATTTTTACAAGAGTTGCTCATTAATTACATAAGGACAGAAATAGTTAGGAACATCACAGACTGACGCAAGTGTTGCGCAAGAACAGAAAGAGTGGGAAAATACACAATACACTGAAGGAAACGAAAAGGAAAGAATGAAACAAGAGTTGCGCAATAACAGAATTGCGCAAGAAAGGTACAAGAGCGGAATGGAGAGAGAATGAACCTTATGAGCTGCCGGGGAAGGCAGATCATAACACCTCCCCGGCCCAACAGAGATGCGCACCCCGCGCATCAAGAAATGTAACGGAATGAAAAAAACAAAAAAAAAAAAATAGCGAAATAAACTCATATGAAAAATTCGGTAGTACAATGAGAGAAAAAAACAAAAAAAGACGAAAACATAGAGAAAGAAGGACGAGAACATAAACATAAAAAAAACCGGATATGTACAAACTGGGCCGCCTTTTGTCGCCGAATCTAATTGATCGTCGAGGCGAAGTGCCCGTTCGAGCTTCGGGTTGCCACCCCTCGAAGTCGCTTTGACTTGCCCTAGAGTCGACGGTGTAGTTGGTCGAGGCAAAGTCATTGGTTGAAGCCTTTGGTTGCCACCACCGAAGGTCGATT